AACTATATCTTTATCATGTATTTCTTTAATATCTTCCATTATACTATATATTTCCTTACTTTTTTCGCTTATTAAAGCATGGTTTGCTACTACTGCTTGCTCTTCTATGCTGTTATCTGATTCTTGCACAGGAATTTTTGCTAACTCTATATTATAATATTTATAAATATTCATATTATTATCTTTGATAAGAATATTCAGATATAGAGTATCCCCTGCTATTTGTATTCTAATAATCCCTAATTGGTCTTTATCTTGATTAAGAGTTTTTCATATATAATACATACTATTATTACACTTTCTCAATAATTTAATATCATCATCTACCTTTTTTTGCTATGTACAAACTAATTTTGAACATTTAACATATATAATTTCAAAGAATACATCTAAATATTTTACTGTGAATATGATATCTAGTCATCTTCCTATTTGACTATTCTTTTTTCTATCTGTACTAGCAATACTTTCTCTCTCTAATATGTTAATAAATAAAAGTAATCCAAAGAGAAGATTTTTTAACATAGCTAGAATAAATAGTACAATAATAGTAGACTGATAAGTTCCTTTATTTAATATCTCCACTTTAGGATTAAGAACTAAATTATTCTAAATATCTTTCATAATACTAATAATTTTATTTACAATATATAAAATTTACTCTTTATATTCTTTCTATGGCCCATTATGAGTTAACTTTTCTAAAAATTTACTATAATCTTTATGAGAAAAACTTGATACAAATTCTTTACACTTATCTTTAACTCTTGATTGAAGTGTAGGTTTTATTTGCCTAACTAGTTTCTAAATAATGATCATAGCAAGAAATATTAGAAATAATTTATAGAAGTTTGCTTTCCTCAATAATATTAATAAGCATATACTATAAATACTTTTTTTAGACTTTTTAAGCCTCTACATAAATTTTCTACAAATCTAGTATTATCTCTAATAATTTGATTAGCTAAAGGATTTTTCTAAGTTAACTCTTAAATAAGAGTTTTTTCTATATCTAAATATAAATATTGATAAAGAGAAGAAGTATCATTTCTGAGTTTTTTTTTCAATTTATTGATATTTTTTTCAATCTGGTTTAGTCTAAGTAGTTGTTTCTTATCTGTTTTAATTACTCCTATAGCAAATAAAGAATACATACTTTCAAAAACACTATCAAACTAAAAAGATATTGTATGTTAGATTTCAGAAATATAAAAATTATTATTATTAAAACTAATATATTATCAGTACATATACAAAGTTAATATCTTTATATAGCTATTACGCAGATAAAACTTTATATGATACTAATTAACTATATAATAATTTATATTTTAATTCACTCTGACTATACAATAACCTTTTCTAGTAAGAAAAATATAAACAACAAACTATAATAATATAGTCTGTTTATTCAGTACTGCTCTGCAAATAGATCATACAATATTATTATATAAAAAATCCAAAATATCTATATAAAACTTTAACTAATCTGTGAAGAAATTTGTAAAATCCTTAAGTAACAAGATGAACTTTTGATAATTATATTGCTAGCAGACAACAAATTTTTTTCAAAACTCTTTCCATCGATCACTCCGACCAAATTTAGAGCAGAAGGAAAAAACAAGAAAACTCAAAATTTCTACTAAGA